CTCAGTAATTGCTTCCTTGCTTGCTCTTGTCTTCAGAGAAGAACGATAACTTGTCTGTTTTCACGCTGTCACACAAATAAATGTACTTGGCTGAATAAATCGGTCTACCTAATATTTTTAAGGATAAAATATTGGTGAAACAGGAAATGAAGCATTGACTCTTATTATTATTGTTTGAAATAATGTCATGTCACACACCTTCAACCGGAAATAATCAGTCACACTTCTAAAGAAAAAGGGAGAACATGACAGTCAATGTTAGAGATGGGAAATGGGATGTGAAAGTGATAAATTTATTGTCTAAGTGTTATTAATTTTCTGCGAAATAAGTGTTACAATCAATGTGCTTTATGCTTTAATGAAGTTTATTGCGATATGAAACTAAAAAGCCATTTGTCACTATCGCGAATCTTTAGTTGAACATGATTTAAACATGACTGAAGGGGAAATATTCACTCACTGGTATCAATCAGAGAACCATAAACAAACCATGGAGTATTGGATAGATGTTTCAACCTAGTACGCGACTCCTCATCAGTACGCACCCATTATTCATCAATTCAGAGATCGAACCAGGTTAAAAGGCGGACTGTTTGAGTACCCAGCCACTAGGGAGGAATCAAATTGCCAATCAATGTTTAATTCTATCGATTAAAGGTTTTGAGCGCCATCACCATCGGATGTTGTCGGCGAGTAATTGTTCTCACAACAACATAAAATGGAAGTCAAATCACTTTCTCAACTTCATAAATTTTGAAATCGCATAGGAAAGCATCATTTTGAAAATACTTTAGTACTAAGGAGTGGCACAAACTTTCATCAACCTTATTCAACAACTTTTTCCTGATTCCATGCGCCAAATGATCCGCAATGGAAAGGTCAAAGAAGTCTTTGAAGTGAAAACAGGAATGAGACAAGGCTGATTATGATCAACTGAATTATGTGACAGATGTCGGGGAGCGAGAGGATGGGCACATATTGGACCGATAGGAAAACACAGAGAAGATGTGTACTATGCAGATGACTTGTGTATAATGTCACACAAACTTGAAGATTTACAAATGCAAAAAACAAAAAGCAGTTGGCAGAAGAGTCAGAGAGCTAAGACATAACTTTGGACACTGAGAAGGCAAAGGGGATGAAGGTACTCAACTACGATCAGCGGGTGAAATCTAAAGTAAGCTATCTGCTTCACTAACCTGACCCAGGCAATACCGTTCCAACTATAGGCGTCACAGATGACACTGTCAAAGACGCGGCTGGATAGGGACACCAAGGTTATTCTGAGATCATTGTGCATATCTACTGCACTTTGAATAATGAAGAAAATCTCAATTTGCAACACTGATGTCATATGTACCAGTGCTTCTATACGGCTTAGGCACTTAGTGAGCATGTGAGGAAAGGCGTTTTCAACAAGCTACTGAAGACCTTTATCAGTGCCAGTCCCATTCTCTCGATATTGACAACCAGATGGACAGTTATAAAGGTGAAGCAACAAAGGGTTTGGCAGTCAAGAGCCTTTTGCGCAGCAGTTATTCAGAAGGAAATTGAGATGGATTAGGCACACGCTAAGAAGACTGTTGAGTGACATCGCGAAACAGGCAGGCTCTTGAGTGAGACCTAAAAGGGGAAACGATGGGCTGGGTGTGGTTCTTAGTGTGACATGGAGGAAATAATGTGAAGAAGAAATGAAGACAACCGAGGAGTCAGGTGGAATAAACAGCGGAGAACTGTATGTAGTGGAGATGTCCTGCTGACGTCCTACATTCTACTCGAAATCCAAGGGCAGGATAATTGTAATAAACTGTTTTGATTTCTACTGTTATTCAACCAGTATGTCTGTTGTAAAACATATTTAGCAGGGTGATGATATTTCACAATATTCAGCAGAACGAACAGCTACTTTTTATGCTTCGTTTCAAATGTTCTTCTAGTCATTTTCCATTTGTGACGAACTCTAGCTGTAATCTATAAAACTCTAACAAAGCTGACACCTGAATTTCACTACATTGCTAACTAGGAGGCTATGATGGTTGAATCATACAAATATGGTTAGACAACAAGCATTTGTGCAAGTTGGATTTTAGATTTTCCCATCGATTGATTGGACCGAAGTGTTTCGTCTCAAGTTGACTTGTTGGCTTCTTGTGCAGATGCTTCGACGATGTCTAGGCATTTAATTTGTATTTAACTGGTGGATGGTGACTAGCAGTGGAATCCAGGATAACGTGCATTTCGTCCTATTTGGGACTCGTCATCTGGATGTACCTGCGTTTGTAACTAACGCCACTGGGTTAGAGACTCGGTGGGAACATCATCACTCATTGAGGAATGCAGGTACATTCAGATGATGAGTCCCAAATAGGATAAAATGCGCGTTATCCTGGATTCCACTGCTAGTCACGATCCACATCCAACGCCAATCATTTTCAGTGGGAGGGACTTGAAAGAGGTTACTTCATTCACTTATCTAGGGAGCATTGTCTCAACTACAGGAGACAGGAACGGACGAGGATGTCAAATCGAGAATCGATCGGGAAGGCGAGAAACACATTCATCAACCTGAAACCAATCTGGAAATCTTCGTCACTCAGCAACACTCAACAACAAATTCGGATTTTCAATACAAACGTCAAGTCAGTCAGTTCTTCTATACGTACGGATCAAAAACTTGGTGGGTCACAAAGAATATTTCCAACAGCCTGTTGCAGACCTTTATCAACAACTGTCTTCGCTCTATACTCAAGATCAGATAGCTGGAGAGAATCATCAACAAGAAACTATGGGAAGAAACGAAACAAGAACCAATCGCCCAACAAATATGCAGGAGAAAGTGGAGATGGATTGGACACTCGCTGAGGAGGCCGTTGGGTGACATCGCGCGTCAGGCCATTGCTCGAGTGGAACCCGAAAAGGAGGTGGTGAGTGGGACGTCCAAGTTTGACATGGAGGAGATCGTGTGAAGAAGAGTTGAAACAGTATGGATTAACATGGATGCAGGTGAAAAGTACGGCAGAAAACAGAAGCAAGTGGAGACGTGTATTTGAAGCCCTATATTCCACTAGGAACCCAAGTGAACAATAATAATAATCACAAATGTTTTTATTGCATTTCATACTATTATTATTTCATGTATTCACACTTTTGATCTAATTCCTTCACCGGATATAATTTCTAAAAAGCAATAAACGTATACGATTTTACAGCTTGAAAATAAATTCGTTGTAAAGAGTCTCTTCTCTGAATATTGTGTTCTTAATTTATTAGTACTCCTAATCTACCTTGGTAGTCCTTACCTGACTGTATTACCAAAAGTAGTGTTAATTATCATCCTTCAAATTTCTTAAATCCCTAGTCACTTTGCTCATTTTAATTGATTTGACAAGTCAGTGTGTGTGATCAGATTATTTGACGCCCACAGTGTAAATTCATAACATGATTTTTTCATATATTCTTCATCTTCTCATAATGCCATCCAAATTTATTAAGGGTGTAACGACAGAAAACAAGAGCCAGTCAACAGATTGTTTGTTGAGATTTTTATGTACATTATTATTATTCGTTATTGTTAGCAGGGAAGTAACGTCTTCTGATGGGTTGTTTTCTTGCTGAAGGTTATTCTATCATCTCTTTGTGACCGTTTCTTAGAAAGTTAAGCCATATATCTACGAATAGCATTTGCGTACGCTCAGTCTACTGTTATTGGTTGTTGAGCTCCTCAAAGTTAAGCTTTGTTCTTGTTTTTTTTTCATGACTCCTATTCGGGACGTAAACATAGACGTCAGTTGTTGTCTACAATTTTGAAGTCTTGAAGGCAGCTCTCACCACAAGGGGACTAATTTTTTTTTAATTATAATGAAGGTTTTTATATTTCCCAATGAATGAAAAACAAAACGATATTGTTTTTACTGACGTTTCGTTATTTAATGCTAATAGCTTTATCAAAGTATTATTAAACGGGAATTTACAAAATCTCAGCATATATATAACAAACAGTTAGGAGGTGAGAAAATAGACTTAGGTCAAGTTTAAGGGACATATTGAAAGTAAAAATAGCAATGAAGATCACTAGACCAAATAACAATGGTAATAGTACGTCTGTTTTGATGTCAAAATAAAGTTTACTAACTTGATCATCGTTCATCTGTCCTGTCGTCTGACCTAAGTCTATTTTCTCACCCCCTAACTGTTTGTTATATATATGCTGAGATTTTGTAAATTCCGGTTTAATAATACTTTGATAAAGCTATTAGCATTAAATAGAGAAAGATCAGTAAAACAATATCGTTTTGTTTTTCATTCATTGGGAAATACAAAAACCTTTATTATAATGAATATCATATATTTTCTAAAGTTTGGTTTGTAAGGGTTTGTTATGTTTTTACGAGTTGACCAAGGACTGATAACATAACAAGCCCTTACAAACCAAACTTTAGAAAATTAATCTGATGCTCGCTAGTGACTTGCTACAGGATGGAGTTTCCTGGAGTTCTAGTGAGAAGTCGTGACCAGTGAGGTTCACGTGTGTGGATGGATATCCCACCAACGACAATGGTTGGGGTCGCGCTAAATCACGAATTGATAGAAGTTAGAATTCATGAGCCGTTGAATCGGGTCCCAGTAGCTGAATGGTATACGAGCTTGCCTTGTAACCGGAAGGTCCTGGGTTGGAACCCTGGCAGTGGGTGCGTACTGCCGATGATTCCCAAACTAGGATGAAACAGCAGCTGTCCAGTACTCCCTGGTTTTCGATGGTTCTCTAACTGATATCAGTCCGTGATCAACTCGTAAGAATATCATATACCCAATGCCCAAATTTTTACAAACCGTTAAAAGTGAACTTGGTTTGGACATATATAATTGTTTTTAACGTTAGTTATTCACAAAATGCTTAACTGTCAAGTCATATCATTACTTTTTAATTCAATATGCAGAGCATTCATTTAGCGTTTGAAATGTATATATATATAACTTTATTCCTTGCATCACCGTTACAGGCACAAAATGAACAAAAAAGTATTGGACAGTCAATTCAAAACCGTGAGCATTTAACTGATCCAAAATGTTTACTACAACACAACCAACACACTGATACTATGGATAAATCAGAATTTCATCAGATTCAACATTTTCTTCCACAAAATGAAAATCTACCTGGTAATACAAGCCTTTATAATGTCAGTACAGCAGAACAATCAGGATATCCTACTCCTCACCATCATCATCACCATCTCCTTCAGCAACACCATCATCATCCACAACAACAACAGATGTTAATGACAATGATGATGACAGCGACAACAACATTTCCAGGAATTAATCAATATTATTATTCAAATCAATCAACTGGATATTTAGAACATCATGGTTGGTTAAATCTTTTAGACACTTGTGGATGGAAAAAAGTTGAACTGTTACTATTTCCTGATCTATTATTGATTGCACAAAAAAATTCTAGCGGTTATTTCAATGTGATTAAAGATCCTATATATAATACAAAAATATCCTATATTAACATTCCTCCGTATGCTTCAGGTAATTAATATAAATGTATTCTTTTAGTGTGTACAGACTAACCAAATCAGGAGGAATTATATCATCTTTCCTTCTACAGAGGTTATTGATTTCATCAGCATTTATCATTTTTATATTTAGTTATGTCTCACTTCTTTAAAATTATATTTGTAAAATCTCAGCGAAATCGAAATGATTAATTCCAACGTTTCCTGTCGGCAATCTGGTCCGAACTTCTTCTTCAGGGAAATTAATCGAAATTAACATAACAGAGGTTTATATGGAATAAAAAGACAGTTGCAGCGAAGAAAATTTTCTTTTCGACGAAGTCATCAACTAGGCTGGGCTGTATATTCGTGTATTTATAAAAAATAGGTAGGAAAGTTCCAGAATAATTTCTGGTTAGGGGTCAAATTAGTAAAAATTACAATTAGGAATTAGAATGCCATAATAAACAGGGGGATGGGTAAAATTCAAACAAAGTAGCATAATAACTAAGACGATTGACATTGTGCAATTGGGGGTTAGAAATGTAAAAATAACAAAATATACAGGATGTTTGGATAAAAAACTAGTGTGATGAATAATTGTTTATGCAATCGGGGATTAAATATGTAGAAATAGTAAGATGACAAAATAAACAGGAAGTGTCGACATGAAAATATGGTAGTGTAGACAGGGATTAAGAAAACTTAAAATAATATGGATAAACAGGGAGTTTAGATAAGAAAGGCGATGGGATGGTCATTATTAAAAAATTTACCTGTTTATGATGGCCATGGCAGGGACAGGGGTTGGACGTATTTCTTTTGGACAAAGGGGTGGGCCTGAGTTTTTGGATAGCTAACGACTCAGCTATTCCCTTATTATGCTACTTTGTTTGAGTTTTACCCATCCCCCTGTTTATTATGGCATTCTAATTCCTAATTGTAATTTTTATTAATTTGACCCCTAACCAGAAATTATTCTGGAACTTTCCCATCCCTTTGATATAAATACACGAATGTACAGCCTAGTTGATCACTTCGTCGAAAAAAAAATTTTCTTCGCTGCAACTGTCTTTTTATTCCTTATGATCAAATGTGTATATTCCGTGATTTGAAAAGAGGTTTATATTTAAAAGGAACATCTCTTGTTTTTTCGAAACTTTGTCCAATCATGAGTCATGAAACAGGCATCAACAGGTATAATAAACAAAATTGTATGAACTGTGATCAAAATTTGACCTCAGACTTTCAAAATTAGTCTACTTTTGTTAAAATATATATGCGTATATGCAGTAAACAATGGTGTGTGTGGGTGAACAGTCATAAAACATTTTTTATTCTCTCCATAAGAAGACGTAGATAATCGAGAATTTGATCAAGTGTGACTAGTTGCTGATACATATCCAATTTCATTTATTAGTCAGGATTTGCCATGCATTCCCTACAGAGCCAAGCGTCTAGTTACTGAGGAGGAAGATATTAGGAAGGAATTAAAATTGGTTCAATCCACTCTTGAATCAAATAATTATCCTAAAGCTTTCATAAAAAGATATTTGAAATGTGAAGACAAGGATGAATCGAAACCTGATTCTAACAATTGGGTTAGTACAGCGGTGATTCCTTACCGCGAAGGAACATCCGATGAAATAAAGCGAATCCTTAACGATCATAACATAACAGTGTATTTTCGTGCATCAAACACCTTACGCTCATTACTGGTTAAGGTTAAGGATAAAAAAGAACAAGAAAACCAGCAGAATTGCGTATACCAGATCAATTGTGGGGATTGTAACGCCGTATATGCAGGAGAAACTTCCAAATAGGTAAATGTAAGAGTGAAAAAGCATAAACAATGTTTAAAGGTGGTGCAGACTTGAAGAAGCCAGAAAACACCTCAGAGATTGCACTGCATTCGACAGAAAGGGGACACAAAATCGACTTTGATAAGACTAAGATTTTACAGAAAGGTTTTGGTTCATATAAAGAAAGGCTGACTGCAGAAGCCCTACATATATGGGTGAATCCCAACATTTTGAACGGATGTGAAGGTGTGATGTTAGCTGATGCATGGCAAATCCTGACTAATAAATAAAATTGGATATGTATCAACAACTAGTCACACTTGGTCAAATTCCCGATTATCTACGTCTTCTTATGGAGAGAATAAAAAATGTTTTATGACTGTTCACCCACACACACCATTGTTTACTGCATATACGCATATATATTTTAACAAAAGTAGACTAATTTTAGTAAGTCTGAGGTCAAAATTTGATCACAGTTCATACAATTTTGTTTATTATACCTGTTGATGCCTGTTTCATGACTCATGATTGGACAAAGTTTCGAAAAAACAAAAGAGATGTTCCTTTTATATATAAACCTCTGTTATGTTAATTTCGATTAATTTCCCTGAAGAAGTTCGGACCAGATTACCGAACGAAATGTTGGAATTAATCATTTCAATCTCGCTGAAATTTTACAAATATAATTTTTTACAAATGTCTACTTCTCACTCGGCGCTCAATTATTTTGCAACTATCCGGTCAAATCTTGATCACAGTTCATATGACTTATCATTTACTAGTGATGAGAAACATTTATGCTCACTTTGCATGAACAAATCGATGGTCTGAAAAATTAAGAAAAATCTCAGCCCAAATGTACTTGTATAACAGCGATCTTGGTGACTGCTGTCTTCGAATAACTAACTAACTGGACAGTTAATTGGTTACTTTCCCTCTCTGTATCTATTTATCAATTTTGTTTGAATTAGAAAAGGAAATATCATTTAGACAGTGAATTGTAATTTAATTTAGTACATGCTGAACAACGTCAGGTGTCATCATAATATGACTATTCCCCTTAGTTCTTAATGGAAAATAGGCCTTCAACAGCACGTCCACATTTCACTTTTTTCTCTACAGTCCTCATCAGCTTTCATTTCCCCCTCATACGATCTCCTCCATCATTCTCGGAGGCAGAATTGGTCATTTCCCATTCGAATTCCACTCGTTCGACTGCCTGGCACGTGATGCCACTCAGCGGTCTCCTTAGTATGTTTCTGGTCCACCTCCATTTTCGTTTTTTTATATTTATTTGGTGAAAGGTTCTTTGCCTGTTCGTTAGGGGATTTCTTCATCGCTACTGCTTTCTGCTCCTCTGATCTTCAGTACGGAGGAGAGGTGGACACGTAAGTGAGTAAGACCTAGTAGAACAGTTACTCCAGGCAGCCAACGTTCAGAGTCTGTTGTTTTTGTACACATAGTTTGTGATTCATGTGATTAGCCAAAAATGCTTAGACTGTTACCTTTAATAACTCTTAATCAAAGTTATGTAAGAATAAAACTAGAAATAATAATAAGGACAAGATCAATGAGAGACATGTACAGAAAAGTGACAACACTAAGAATAATGAATTCAAAAAATCATTCGATCTTGCACTTCAAGGGGTATCACCTGAAACTACACTTGGAACTTTCAGCATGTCAGGAATAAAAATGACTTTCAAACCTTCCGGCTAAAATAACCTCAGTAGCCCAGTAAACAAAATGGTCTAGTTTATCCAATACGCTGTAATGATTGTGAGATCAAACTAGAAGGCCGGGTTTACTTTGCTTAGTGGGGCCGAAAAACCTAGCGAAATCTAGATTAGTTTACCATAATAAATGAAAGAATTAAGATAAGAAAAGCCTATCTATAGCCCTTTATGCAGTTACACACAACCCTACAGTAAAATGGTATAACACGACAGTATTAAAATCTAATATGAAAGGGCTGGAGTCAGGGATCAATAGCTGAAGCTTTGTTTATCGGATAAACTGACAATACGTGCATTGGGAATAACTCCAAACCCATCCGGGACATCTGGAAAATACTATTATCCGTATGAATAAGAAAAGAAATATAAAAATCAAGTTTCGAAGTTGTGTAGTTACAACTGATGACATGATTATGAACACTGATAGATTTCTACAAAACGTAGAGCAATAAACGATACTGTCTCACTGTGTTTGATGTATCCAACGAACAACTTAATATAGAAATAATTTTCTTTGCTTTATTTGCTGTTACAGATCAACTTATCCTGCAATATTTGACTGAGGATAATCGTAAACAGATTGCACATTTTCAAGGTTCAGATGTTCACGAGTGGTTAGTTCGCATACAAAGGCATATGGTATATAATGGAAACTGGTGGATGGGTGGTAAATGACCATCAACGGGATTACAATCGTGTTTATTTTATTATATAAATTGTTTGTTCTACTTACTAAGAATTCAGTAGTTCAACATTTTGTCATGAAAAGATTCTCACAACTCAAAATATGTTGTGAAAATGAATTATTTTTTGTAAATTATGTACCATATAATTTTTCTTTCCAGCTATTCGTTTTCTCTGCTATGTATGGCCTTACTCATGCAATCATTGTATTAGCTATGGAATTATTACTTACAACAGAGGAATCTACTATTTACTGTGAAATTAATTATTCAAAGAAACGTCTTGATATGTTCCAGCTGGAATCTATTGTAGGTAAACAATTGAAATATTCCCACCTTTACGAAACCCACTTCCATTTAGATTTTGTAAAAATTTAGAGTTTTGCATAATTACACTGAAAAGTGAATGTAGATTACTTGATAATTGGAAATCTTTCTTCTTTTCTCTTAAAGCCAGATACTAAAACTTGCTGTTTTTGCATATATTGAAATGTCTTGTTTAACAATAAAACTTCTCATTGTAAAATATAATCCGCCAACAAACGAAGTGAAAGGATTCTTACACAAGTATTTTAATGCACTACTCTGATCATCACTTGAATTATTGCTTCTCTTATCTTGTTGTTATTTGTCGAAATATATTTTCCAGCCTCCTTACATTTCAACAGCCATCAGTAGGTCGCATTAACAACTATTATAAAAATAAAAGATCACCAAGTCATTCGTCTATTTAACTTTAGGCCGGAAAACCATAAAACCACAACATAATAAACGACTGAGTAAAAGGAAACTTGTAAAGGTAGACCTGAAGTGAATAATGCGAATCAGATGACTTTTGCCATAAAGACAGTTAGGAATTCAGAATGGAAAGTGAATCTACATACAGCTACTTTCAGATAGTATAGATTTACAGTACGTTGGATGATATGGTAAAGCTTTGGCTAGAATTTTTAGCTAACACTGAACAATTTTCTATGATCCAATACAGCTGCGGATAATCAGTCATCTAATGAAATTACTGCACGCCGAAATGCGCTAGTGTAACAGAGCACTTCTCACTTTGAACTGATAAATTTCCATCCTCACTAAGGAATTGACACATGAAATGATTAATCCCTTATGGCATTTATTACAAGCCGACCGAACTAGCTAGGCAATAGAGTCGCAGGAAGCGGTACTGGATAGCCTCTGTTAGAAACTTAGGGGGGTTTACCAATCAGTGGGAACAACGACTTTATTAAACTAGCATTTACTGCCTCTAATTATTTAGCAACTATGATGAATGCAGATTGCTTCAACTTTAAGCATACTACATAGAGATTCCAACATGACATTTGTGAACTCTATTCATTGTGGAGTAAGGAAGGTGATAGATATGGGTATCCTCTGACAACTGTCAAGTGAATTTTTTCGCAAGTTTATAGAAAAGGCAGTAGCAAATTTTCTATGCAAGATGTAGGGGAATTACAAACTGATTTTATTTGTGAGAAACTAAAACACCAGCTACTTCTGACATGATTTGCACCAGATTAACACTTGATAGTTTGGAAATTTAGTAAGCCATCACCTCCATAAATGTGCATAATCTCCAGTAAATCTGAAGACATTGTAGTGTACCTTGAACCTTTGAACTTTTGTTTTAACTCATTCACCCACTTTTGGCGCCACGCCATCTTCTGTTTTCCGACGTGACTGTACACACGTGGTTCGCTCCCTTATTGTGCTACCATTCAGTGCACTTTTCGAGCTTACTACCCAGCCAAGGCATCAGATAAGTTGTATAACACCCTTATTGATTAAAACTGATATTTCATTTATGTAAAATACAGCTCTCTTCAGGACACACTTCCAGTCTCAAGTCCTTTTACTTTGATTTCGTTAGTCAGTACTTACGCGGTAGGTAGAGTGCTGATAAGGTTATTAAGCGGTAAAGTATTTAGTAAGTGAGGTAATCTGAGGTTCATCTTAAGTACAACCCAACACTTACAACATCCTAAAAGAGAAGGAAATCAGACATATTTATCCGGCATATCATTGTCGTTAAGAAATTTTACTTTATTTTTATTTATTTTGATTACAGCTTGATTCCACACCGTACTTTTTGGTACAGGGATGGAATTTTCAGCATGTGATATCGGTAGCCCAAATTTTGCAGGCCGACCATAGATATCAGGTGTGCGTCGGCAGGGGATCGAATCCCTGACAATGTGCATGGTCGGCGAGAGTGAGCAGACATATGGGAGTATTTCAGAACGGGATCTGATGTCCTAAAAATCCCCTTTAAAGAAGGAAAGGAAATTTCAAAGACTCAGTAGGGTTATTGTTTGCTGTAAGGGTACAGTGGTGGAATCTAACGCCATATGGAGAGTGGAAAGGGTAAGTTGTCAAATAAACACAATAACAAGAATAACACTGTATTAACTGATAAGATCTCGATAGCAGTTGGGGCTCTATCGAAGCCTTTTGATTCCACATTAAGAGATGAAGGATGTCGAAGAGTACACAAAATAACTATTTCTGCTGCCGCAAGTATAAGTCCTCGAATCCTAATATAATTATTCCTCATGATCAGTGAACTTTTAGAAAATCAAACCAGAACAACATTTCAGTCGTCCAAAATTCTAATTATATTTCAACGTCAGAAATGTCAGACAGTGTTGTTCGCTTTGCTAACTAAAGTGTGCACGGAAAACCGAACGTAACTCGACAGAGTGCTGAATAGCATAAATAGCTGGCAGATCATCTTTAGCAAAGCCATCTGACTTAAACAGTGAAGGTCAGCACACAATAGTGAATGACGAAAGTATCTAGCTAAAAATTTTGGAAGATTGTTTACCACTCACAGCATCACTATTTGGAATGTACCAGAATCTACCAATACTGTTCTGACTGTGTGCCACGCACATGTTCTTGGGTCAGCAGGATTGATATTTCGTGACCTACTTCCTGAAACAAGTGGCTGTGTGCCTGTAAGAAAGGTTATCAGAACCAGGAAATGTAATTCCGATACAAGTGAAATTTTCCGAAGACCATTAAAAGAGATACCAGGGAATGAGACAGAAAAATGTATTCTCAACTGAGCATTTAAGATGAAGCACAGAAACATTGAAATCAGGCCTTAATGGCCATTAAATGGTAGGATCATGAGAAGAAGAGACGCAACCGTTTGAAGATTCCAATGAACCACAGTGAAAAAACCAAAAGGTACTGGGTTTCCTCATAGATAGGTCTTGGCAACATACATTACCAAGACCTTTGTTCATAATCCGCATAAAAAAACAGTATGCTGTGATGCAATACGAATGCATTTAGTATTGTGAACAGACCTTCTGGATTTGGGGGAATATCCGAAAGACTTCAAGCTGACCTTGTAGCAGTTAATGAAACATGGTTTTGTAGAGGACCGAAGAGGTTCGTTAAATCAGCTGAACCATTTGCGATCAGCTGTGGGTTGAAAAACATGGTGGACAGTTGGATTTCCGAAGGTAAAGAGCTTCGTAGTGGTGCGACTGCGTGTCCCCACACTGTCTTCATACCATAGTTAATGAGTACACCTTTAACCAGTAGTAAGTTTTATATTCTCACTTCACTAGTAAGGGCGATTTTAATAAAATCATGGCTACAAGTTTAGGTTGGAAAGGATAAACAGTCAGCAGATAATGTAGCTAGAGTTCAAGTTTAGTAAAACAGGTGGCCACAAAACCTAACAGAGGAACAGAAAAATCTTAACAGAGAAACGAAAAACTAATCCTCATAGCATACACGAATATTAATACCACTTAAAACTGCAATAATTGTTGCAGCTTGCATTGACTTCGGGCTCATCGCAGAACGTTGCGGCATATTTTGGGAGCATCGCAGAATGTTTGTGGTGGGCTTAGGAGCCTTGTCCCATGTTCTGCAATGCGCCCGAAAATGATGCTAGCTGGTAAAAAATTTATCCCCCTACCCATACATCAATATTGGCACCACTTAATACTGCAACGCGAATAATACTAACAATACTCATACACGAATCCTAATTTTGAAGTATCTGTGTCCTCTCAGGTGGGTGGTTTATTTGTGAAGCTTTCATTGCCCAGTGAAGTTCAACAATAGCGTCCCAGGAGGGCGGACACTCCAATGAACTTGAACGCATGCTAGTCGTTGGCTTACGGTACCTGTCATTATTATAGCCGAAATATCAACGCTATTCACCAACTGGGGAGCGAATTTCACCCAGATCGCGTTTTTAAGTACTGTTTAGACAATGATTTAGTAGCTCGTTAGGGTTAGTGTTAAGGTAAGTATTGCGGTTAGGCTTAGGATCACAGTCATAGTTAGGGTTAGGTTTACTGTTGGCATAAGGGTTGTAAGTGAGGTTAGGATTTAGGTTAAGGTTAGTGTTAAGTTCAGGGTTAGGGTCAGGATTAAGGTTAGGGTTACGATTAGGGATAGATTTAGAGGTGATGTCATTTATTTCAGTTTGTCTTATTGTCCACATTTTCCTGAGAAGCAGTCATGACCCTCCTACTGGAAACCATAGTAATTCAACCGAAGGCTTTTAGGGAAGACTACACAACAGGAGAAGTAGCTCATCTTCAGTCATCTCGGTGAATACATGTACAGACACTAGTTCAACTTGGCAACAGATACTTTTCATTATTGCTTGGACGTATTTTTGAGTCATGTCAGAAAAAGATACCCTGTTAAATGTGTTTTCATGCACTTTCTTGTAAATATACGTCATTTTTCATGCAAAAGTCCTTCATTTTCATGATTTGTCGGCTCAAGGACACACGTGCGTTCGCATCTGTTGGGACGCTATTGTTGAAACTTTGCCCATTACCCTACTGTGTAACATTTTCAGCTCACACTTCAATTTGAAGTGAGCTTTTAGATTTCTCCATGAGTTTATTGGTCATCTCTCCCGGTGACCTTCAACGTGATTGGTTGTTTTCGTGTATTTTCGCACCCTCTAGGCTACTTGCGTTGGGACTGATTGTTTCCTTGACCTGAAGTTTGACCCTTTGTGTGTGAGATTTCCTTCTTATCGATTGGTAAATTTTGTCTATCACGATGTGTCTACTGATTGACGATTCACTGGAATACCAGGTTTCTAAAAATTCTCTAGCATTCTCGGTGTTTTCCCTGTCTTATCTTTTAAAGTTGTCCCAGTTAAACTGATGTCTGTAGTTGTCTGTATGTAGTGATATGAGAGAGTGGATGTCATTTCTTT